CATCAAGAAAATAACTTCTTTTATAAGCCATAAATATTATAGAAAATTAAACATACTTCTAGTCACATGTTGATCTCATCAAATATTATTCACTGGGGCCGGCGCTGTGACGCAGTGGGTTAACACCCTGGCCTGAAGTGCCGGCATCTCATATGGGCGCCAGTTCGAGACCTGGCTGCTCTACTTCCTGTCCAGCCCTCTGCTGTGGCCTGGGAAAGCAGTGGAAAGCAGTGGAAGATAGCCCAAGTCGTTGGGCCCCTGCACCCGTGTGGGAGACCTGCAGGAAGCTCCTGGCTCCTGGCTTCGGATCGGCGCAGCTCCTGCCATTGCGGCCAACTGGGGAGGGAACCATCGGATGCAAGACCCCTCTCTCTGTCTCTGTCTCTGTCTCTGTCTCTGCCTCTCCTCTCTCTGTGTAACTCCAACTTTCAAGTAAAATAAATAAATCTTTAAAAAAATATTATTCATCAAAGATATTATAGGGGAAAATTCCAGGGCACTGGTCTGTACAATGAATTTTTTGGATATGATCCCAAAAGCAGAGGTACATCAAACTAAAATGCTTCTGAACAGAAGAAACAACCAACAGCATGAAGAGACAACTTATGGAATGGGAAAAAATATTTATAATCCATTTATCTAATTAAGGGTTAATATTTAAAACATGAATATATAAGGAATTCAAACAACTCAATAGCAGCAACACAAATAACACAACTAACAGATAGGAAACATACAAGTAGGCAACAGGTACATTAAAAGACACACACCATTACCAATCACCAAGAAAACACAAATTAAGACCACGATAGGGTATCCTCTCACACTGGTTGAAAGGTAAGTGATAGTGTGGCTAGAGATAAGGAACAGTTGTATATTGTTGGTGAAAAACAGTGTGGAGGTTCCTCAAAAAAGTGAAAATAGAACTACCAGCAATCCCAGTACTATGTATACATCCACAGCAAATGAAATCAGCAAGCTGAAGAGATACCTGGACTTCCATGTTCACTGCAGCACTATTCACAATAGCCAAGAAGTATAGTGGACCTAAATGTTCATCTACAGATGAACAGATAAAGGAGACACAATGAACAGAAATAACAGAACACTATTCAATCTTTCAAAAATAGGTAACCCTGTCATTTATTAAAATACTGATGAATATGGAGAATATAATATTAAGTAAAATAAGCCAGGCATAGAATGACAAATACTGCATGTCATACTTATATGTGGACTCTAAAAAAGGAAATTCATACAAGCAGAAAGCAGACTGGCAATTCCAAGGGGCAGAAAGTGGATTGAGGAGATGTTGGTTACAGGATACAAAACTTCAGTTACAGAGTAGGAATAAGACCAAGACATCTATTTTAAAACATGGTAACTAAAGCTAATAACAACATATTGTATACTTAAATATTAATAGAGATTTCATCACAAAAATAATTATGTGAGATCATGAGTGTTAACTACCTTGAATTAGTCATCCTACATATATACATCTATCAAACATCATGATCTACACAATAAATATACTTGTTCATCAATATCCATGATGGATAGCAACTCCCCCCAGTGAAGACAATACAATCTAAATGCTGAATACTGTTAATATACAAGGGTGTAGTATTTACATGTAACAGGATGCACTCCCTCCTATATACTGTAAATTATCTACAGATGAGTTATGAAACCTAAAATCGTTATACTGTATTGCTTAAGAAATAATGACAAGAAAAAGTCTGTACATGTTGAGTACAGATGTAATGTTTTTTCCCTACATAAATTTCTGATCTGCAGTTCGTTGAACTGATGGATGTGGAACCTACAGACAAAAAGGACTGATTATATATATATATATATATATATATATAAATATAAATATATATTTTCTCAAAAAACTAAATTAAAAAATTTAATAAGGAAAGGAAAAACTTTGTGCTACAAGTATGAATTAAGCCACATTTTAAAGCCTATAGCTGCCAGTATTGTGGCGCAGTGTGTTAAGCCACTGCACAGGACACCAGAATTCCATGTGACCACTGGAGTCCTGGCTGCTCTGCTTCCAACAACTCCTTGCTAATGTGCCAGGGAAAATGGCCCCTACCACCTACATGGGAGTCCTGGGTGAAGTTCCTGGCTACAAGAATTGCAAAACCACTTTTCCAACATTGTTGTAGAAAGATGACAAAGGTGAAACTGGAAGACGACCTTGGAAGAAAGCTACCAGATCTGATCACACTCATCACATGGCAAAGACACTGAACGTGACTTTGATAAACAATATTAAAAACTAATAGGCATCCTTTCCTCAAATACTTCTGGGAAATTAAAGAAATACAATTCATTTAATCTTTTATTGTCCACAAGTCATGAGGGTTGCTTTTTCATTCTGACGTAGCTGAGGATAGTATTGTCAGAGGCACAGGACTTACAAGCAGGAAGGATGGAGAGAAGTCATCCAAGAGTACATCTCTAGTCTTTATGTTGGAGGTAATTTTTGGAACACAATTCATTTGAAAATCGGAAATTATGTACATTTAACTTATTTGCCGACATTTCTATATATTGTTAATTAAATTTTTCCAGGTTACAAGAAATAATTATAAAACCAACTTTTAATTAAGAATGTTAGGACCAAAAAAAATGTTATGTCTTAATTAACCCACCAATTACACGCAGTTTTTAGTTTTTAGTTTCCAGGGAAACTATAAAGATAAATAACAGTTTATCACTTCCTTAACTCAAAAATACAGTTAGAAAACAATTATGCACACTGACTTGTTCAAGTCTTCTGCCTATCTTCCATACTTGGCCTGAGTTGAGAGGTCTTTTTTCAAAAATAAATTAAAGAAGCAACACATTTACTAGTAAAAGAAAACTAAAAAAAATTTCATAAACTTTAAGAAGATCATTTTTCCCCCTAAGATTCAACACATCTATGAATCAGATGCTTCCAAGGAAGCCTCATAAGCAATAGCCCAACAAATAACAGAAACTCTAATATTTAAGCATTTCACTATTACTGAGCATAAATAATTAACCATTTGCTTACTGTTCTAAAGTCTACTAGGAGTGAAAAAATTCCAATTACCATCAATCTAACTGGCATCACACAATCTAGTTAATCTCCTGTCCTAGCACATGTTGTCTCAGCAAAATGGACACTTGATGTGACTTCTCTTCACACATATATACCTGGAGGCAGGTAAAAGGCCTATGGAAATGCAGAAATACCACTTGAGACCACAGACAACTTCTCACAAAGAATACATTAGATGGAACAAATAGACACTCAAAAATCCAATTCTCTGTAGAAATATACTTTCTGAAAGTTTAATGACAGAGGAGGAGATAGTAAAAAGCTACAAAACAGTTTTCATTAGTACTAAACAATAAGTAATTATAAAAATACTGACAGAGTTCTCTCCTTTTTCTTACTCTAGTTTTGAAGATCAACTGAAAAGGGCCAGCATTTGGCCTAGTAATTAGCATGCTATTTTGGACATTCATATCCTATGTCAGAATACCCGGGTTTGAGTTCTGGCTCTGTTGCTTATCCTAATTTTCTGCTAATGTGCACCCTGGAGGCACCAAATGATAATGACTGAAAATGCCATGTATGTGGGACACTGGGATTGAGTTCCTGGCTCCTGGCTCTGGTCTGATCTGGCCCTAGCTGTCGCAGGCATCTGGACAGTGAACCAGCAGATGGGAGCTTTCTACCTGAGTGTCTTTCAAATTTTAAAAACTAATATACATTTTAAACAGTTTTATTTTTATTTACTTGAAAGGTAGAGAGAGGGAGAGGGAGAAAAAAAGGGGGAGAGAGAGAGAAAGAAGGGGCAAGAGACAGAGAGAGAAACAGAGTGAATCTGCTGATTCACTCTCCAAATGCTCACAACAACTGCAACTAGGTCAGGCTGGAGCTAAGACCCTGAACCTCCATTCTAGTCTCCCGTGTAGGCGGCTATGACTCAACTACTTGAGTTGAGTACCTGCTTCTCTCAGGGTACACATCAGCAGGAAGCTGGATCAGAGGCAGAGGCAAGACTAATATGGAATGTGGGCATCCCAAATGGCACCTTAATTCCTGGACCACAATGCCTATAAATGCCTGTGTGTTTATTTTTTAGAAAAGAAGAAGTAGGAGCTGGCACTGTGGCATAGCAGGTAAAGCCGCTGACTACAGTGCAGTTCCTATATGGGTGCTGGTTTAAGTTCTGGCTGCTCCACTTCTAATACAGCTTTCTGCTTTGCGTTGGGAAAGTAGTGGAAGATGGCACAAGTCCTTGAGCCCCTGTACCTGCGCTGGAGACCCAGAGGAAGCTCCTGGTTACTGGCTTCAGATTGGTGTAGCTCCAGCCACTGCGGCTATTTGGGGAGTGAACCAGCAGATGGAAGACCTCTCTCCCTCCCTCCCTCCCTCCCTCCCTCCCTCCCTCTCTCTCTCTCCCTCCGCCTCTCTGTAAATCTACCTTTCAAATAAATAAATAAATATTTAACATTCAAAAAAAGAAAACGAACTCAAGAATGTGCTGAGAATACAACAGTCTGAAAGAGGGAAGGCCTATTGTGAGCAGCCTAGGCCCAGGATGCCCTTCACAGCTTCAGACCAGTGATTCCTGTTTGCTTCAGAGTAAAATGTGTAGGATAGACTGTTTTCCAGGGTGTCTCAGCTGCACTGCAAGTCAGAGTCAAATCTTCTGCCCCAGGTTACTTTCCTAAATCTCAGGTAAATAGCTTGCAATAAACCCTACGCATCTATTGTCCCTGACTTATTATCTGTAATTAATAAATTAACTTCATGTAACTTGTTTGGGAGAGGTTCTGTCTCCCTAACTCAGACAAATTGGTAACCAGTGCACGGAACTTGCTTCACATCCTTCAGTATTCTCTAAACGAAAAACTGATTAGAAAATAATTTAAGCAACAGAAGAAAAAAAAAAACTATTCAAATCAGATGACCCAGTTCTTCATTTGATTTTCTTCTTTCTTACCTTATCTATCCTATCTGGGCGATTAGTAGCTGCCAAAATAGTCACATCCTTCAGTTGTTGAACGCCATCCATTTCTGTTAAGAGCTGAGCCAAAACACGGTCAGCTACGTTCCCAGCACCTGAAGAACTGATTTTTAAAAACACAATTTTAAACATCTGTTTATGTCTATTATATTTAAAAGTCTGCATCCTATTAAAAGAAAAATATCTCTACATCAAGGAATGAAATACATATTTGAGAATTGTGACCACAGTACGGAATGATGGGCAGTTAGGTCAGTACCAGCTGGAATTACAAAGAATCAATGCAGAATTTTACCCTTAACAATATCACATGACAAACCAAGTATATTCAGATCATTTCCTTCCCTCCCTGTTAATGTGCCTAGGAAAGCGGAGGATGTTTCAAGTGCTTGGGCCATTGCACCCTTGTGGGAGACCCAGAAGAAGCTGATGGCCCCTAGCTTCGGATTAGCTCAGCTCCTGTCGTTGCGGCCATTTGGGGAATCAACCAGCAGACAGAAGACTTCTCTACCTGTCTCTCCCTCTCTCTCTAACTCTGCCTCTCAAATGAACAAATAAATATTTAACAAAAAAACACTACTACCAAAAGCAATGAATAGATCTACATTAAAATATTATTGATGTTGTTCACAGAAGTAGAAAAAGAAAAAAGAAAAATTTTAAATTCACAAGGAAGCACCAAAGTCCTCAAACAGCCAAAGCAATCTAGAACAAAAAGAGCCAACTGGAGTGTTCACAATACCAGATTTCAAGATATATTACAGAGCTATTATAATCAAAATGGATGTATTGCCACAAAACCAGACACACAGATCAATGGAACAAAACAGAGATCCCAGAAATTAATTTGAACATCTACAGTCAAATAAACTTTGACTAAGGTCAAACACTGGAGAAAGGACACTCATTTAATAAACAGTGCTGGGAAAAACTACATATCCAAATGTGGAACTCTCAAACTTGACCCCTAATTTTTACCATATACAAAAATCAATTCAAAATCAATTAAAGATATAAATTTAAGACCCAAAATGATAAAAATACTAGAAGATAGAAGACATCAGTATAGGTAAAGACTTTATGGATAGGATCCCAAAAGTACAGGCGACAAATGAGATGGCCTCAAGTTAAGAAGATTCTGTACAGCAAAGGAAATAAATATCGATGAGACAACTGACAGAATGGTAGAAAATGTTTGAAAACTACTCACTTGACAAAGGACTAATATTTGGAGTACATAAAAAAAAAAAAAACAGAAAAACTCAACAAAAACAAAAAACTACTCAATCAATTAAGAAATGAGACAAGAAGAAGCAGGCATTTGGTTTAGTGGTAAAATTCCCACTTGGGATGCCTACAACCCACTTTCAGACTTCCAGGGTTAGAGTTCCAGCTCCACTCCTGATTCTTGCTTCCTGCTACTGTGTACCCTGGAGGAAACAAGTGATGAAATCTTAGATTGACTATGGGGAATCCCAGACTGAGTTCTGGGCTTCAGGCTTTGGCCTGGTCCTTCTCCAGTTGCTGCAGGCATTTGGGGAGTGAAACAGTAGCTGTAAGATCTCTCTGTCACTCTTGCTCGGGCTGACTTGCCCCAAGTGGTAGAGTTGGAAACATACCAGGGGATTCCAATTCAATCCCATCAAGGTGGCATGTGCCAATGCCATCTCACTATTCCAAGTGATCAATTTCAGTTCACAATTGATCATAATGAAAGGACTAAGAGTCAAAGGGAGCACATAAACAAGTCTAGTATCTGCTAACACTAACCGATAGAATAAATAAAGGGGAGAGTGGTCCAACATGGGAAGTGAGATACTCAGCAGACTCATAGAATGGCGGATGTCCTAAATAGCACTCTGGCCTCAGAATCAGCCCTAAAGGCACTCGGATCTGGCTGAAAAGCCCATGAGAGTATTTCAGGCATGGAAAGCCAAGACACTCTGGCAAAAAGATCTCTGTGAGTGAGATCCCAGTGGAAAGAACAGGTCTTCAAAGAGGGAGGTGCCTTTCTCTGAAGGGAGGAGAGAACCTCCACTTTGACTATGACCTTGTCTAAACAAGATAAGAGTTGGAGAACTCAAGGGGCTTCCATAGCCTTGGAAACTCATGACTGGTGCATAGGGAGATTACTGATGCCATAAACAGGAGTGTCAATTTGTAAAGTCAACAACAGGAGTCACTGTGCACTTACTCCTCATGTAGGATCTCTGTCCTTAATGTGCTGTACACTGAGGCTTAATGCTATAACGAGTACTCAAACAGTATATTTCACTTTGTGTTTCTATGGGGGTGCAAACGATTGAAATCTTTACTTAATGTACACTAAACTGATCTTCTGTAAAAAAAAAAAAAAAGAAAAAAAGAAATTATCAATTCCCAACTTGACTCTCACTGGGATTAAACATGACAATAGGTCTGATCTGATTTCATCATCATTTAAAAAAAAATCATCTATTATTTTTCACTTTATGTTTCTGTGTGGGAGCAAACTGTTGAAATCCTTACTTAAGGTATACTAAGCTGATCTTCTGTATATTAAGATAATCGAAAATGAATCTTGATGTGAATGGAAGGGGAGAGGGAGTGGGAAAGGGGAGGGTTGTGGGTGGGAGGGACGGTATGGGGGGGGAAGCCATTGTAACCCATGAGTCGTACTTTGGAAATTTATATTCATTAAATAAAAGATAAAAAAAAAAAAGATCTCTCTGTCACTCTGCTTGTCAAATATGTTTTTAAGATGGCAAAGTATCTGAGTAGATATTTCTCGAAAGAAAAAAATAGAAATGGCCAACAAATACATGAAAAAAAAATCCTCAGTACCACTAACCATCAGGGAAATGCAAATCAGAACAATGAGATATCATCTTACTCCAGTTAGAAAGGCTAGTACCAAAAAGACAAAAATTAATAAATCTTAGTGAAATATGGAGAAAAGAGAACTCTTATACAATGTTGGTAGGGATGCAATACAGCCAGTATGGAAAACAGGAAGCTTCCTCAAAAATCTATCAATAAAAGTGAGGTATCATACAGTAATTCCACTACTAGGTATATATCTAAAATAAATGAAAGCATTCTTGCAAAGAGATACTAGAAATTGATCCATGAGTCCAGCCAGTAGCACAGTGGTTGCTGCTGCTCTACTTCTAGTTAACGTGAGTGAAAAGGACTACAGGTGGACACAGCAGGCACATGTGGCCCAGCCCCCATCTTCTTATAAAGACCAGAGTGGTTAACACAGTATACAGCCTGCAATACCCACCTTGCTGCTGAATGGCAGCCTGTCCCCAGACACACAAACCCAAGCCACTTCTAACTGAAGTTTCCTGCCTGTTAAGTCCAAAGATGTCAATGTTTCCAGACCATTTAGGTTTGGAAATGCTATACTGAAAAGTACCAAACTGATGAGAGAATAGGCAGATGAAAACTGAAGACAATTCTGTTGGGAGGAACCTGAGGAAGAGCCTCACGACCAAGCAAGTGAAATTCTGAGGAAGAGCTAAAGGTGCAAATCAGTTCTCAGAGGCCATCAACAAGCCATAGCACCAGAAGCTGAATAAAACTCAGGGAGAGCAGACCCTACTGGAGAAGTTTCAAGACAACTGTTTGGCAATTCTGGAGAGCAAGGGCCTTAACCCAGGCCTCACAGCAGTACAGTACATGGACTCTATGTTCCTGTTAGAAATTTTGCAAAATAAGCTAAATCTTTTAACAAAACAGCTGAAAAACAGATGGAGAAGTTGCAGGCCTTAGAGGTGAAGCAAAAGATCAAAGAAGAAAGGGCCCAATTCTTGGAACAGCAAACCTCATGTAACAGTCAAGCAAATGCTTTTACAACAGGCCTTAAGGAAATGGAGAAACTACTAGAAATGTAATAAAAGGCCAAGTGGCCAGATGTCTCCCTCTTGGGGATAAACTGTGAGGAAGCCATTTATGATATCTTGGCCATGATCTTCTAGGACTCACCATCGCTAGAATGAAAACATTTTCTGCAGTAGGATTAAGAACAGTTTACACTGGAATGGTGCTTCCTCCTTTAAGCAAGTTTTCTCAACCTTCAGACGACACAGCTGAGCCTCACGTGTAAATAGTGAGGCCTACTTGAGGGGGACATGAAAGCCTAGATGGACCTCCTAGGTAGCAAAGCAGCACAGAAGTTCTTAAAGGTCACGTTCAGATTGGCAGGGAGAAAATCATAACCACAACAGAGTATAGCTACTATGTAGAAGACATTGCTGAACAGTCATGCTGTTGCCTTCTTTTTTTTTTGACAGGCAGAGTGGACAGTGAGAGAGAGAGACAGGGAGAGAAAGGTCTTCCTTTGCCGTTGGTTCACCCTCCAATGGCCGCCGCTGCAGCCGGCGCACCGCGCTGATCCTGGCAGGAGCCAGGAGCCAGGTGCTTTTCCTGGTCTCCCATGGGGTGCAGGGCCCAAGCACCTGGGCCATCCTCCACTGCACTCCCTGGCCATAGCAGAGAGCTGGCCTGGAAGAGGGGCAACCGGGACAGAATCCGGCGCCCCAACCGGGACTAGAACCCGGTGTGCCGGCGCCGCAAGGTGGAGGATTAGCCTATTGAGCCACGGCGCCGGCTCATGCTGTTGCCTTCTAACTTGGAAGAAACACATTCTTTCCCACCAGGATTGGGCTTCTGTACTTCCTTGAAAATTCATAAACTTCAAGACTTTTGGCTTAAAAAGGGTAAAATTATAGATAGTAATAATAACTATCTGAAACAATTTACCTTGGAGCTTTTCATCTAAATGCTAAAAAAGAGACTGTACTCCCCCATGCACTGCAGCATAATACTCACTAGCCAGATATGGAATCATGCAGATAAAGAAAATGTGATAAACACATACAGACACACACACAAATATTTTTAGGTCATAAAAAAGAATGATGTTCTAACATCTGTTGCAAAATGGAAGGAACTGGAGATCATTATGCTACGTGAAATAAGCCAGACACAGAAAGACAAATATTGAATGTTCTACCTCATATGCAGAAGATTAAAAAGAAATAGTCCATACAAACTTGGAATAGTGATTACTAGAGGCTAGGAGGATGGGGGGAGGGAGAATATAAGAAAATTGGATAA